TCCAGTGATCAACAGCATGAGCATCGGTCTACGCAATTGTGAACCGATGACATGTGTCAACCAAGTCAGCGAGCCTCCTGTTAGTCGCCTCTTACGACAAGCATGGGTTACTGGGGATCAATATTCTAACCCTGATCTTCACGGATAAAGAAAGAAAGAAAGAAGCAAGGAGTGAGTGAGTTAAATTTGTGAATTGCATCTTTCTTTCTAAGAAATACAGTAAATAACTCTAGTGTGTTTACATACACACTCATCACGCAGATTACACCTGATATCAGCTGATTGCCTTGATGTAGGTAGGAGTCGATGGGGTAGCCTAATGGTTAAAGCGTCCGCTCGTCACACCATAGACCCGGTTTCGATTCCCCACATTGATACAATGTGTGAAGCCCATTTCTGGTGTCCCCAGTCGTGATATTGCTGGAAAAGTGCTAAAAGCGGCGTTAAACCTCCTCACTGATGTAAGGTGCAACTTCGTGTGTTTGGAAGAATTAGGACATTTGAGGACTGCCGACCAAACACAAACATTTTTGGCACACTTAGCGCCGTTATACTGCGATAGCGTAGGTCCTATGATTCTACTGGGGTGATCCGTAAAGTACTTATTACAGGGGCGGTTGGGTAGCCTCTTGGTTAAAGCGTTCGCTCGTCACGCCGAAGACCCGGGTTCGATTCCTCACATGGGTACAATGTGTGAAGCCCATTTCTTGTGTCCCCCAGCCATGATATTGCTGGAATATTGCTAAAAGCGGCATAAAACTAAACTCACTCACTCACTTATTCCAGGTCTTCATGACCTACCTGTGATAATGTCGCTACTACGTTAACAAACACCCCAACGAACTGACTTTTCTCCTTGCGTCCCAATGCTAAACGCAATCAATGAGTGGGTTAGTGAGTTTAGTTTTACGCCGCTTTTTTGCAATACTCCAGCAATATCACGACGGGGGACTCTATCAATGGGCCTCACACATTCTACCCATATAGGGAATCAAACCCGGGCCGACGAGCGAAGGCTTTAACCACTAGGCTACCACACGGCTCCTACCGGCAATCACGTGTACTTACTGTCATTGTATGTACACACGTGAACCCTTTATCCTGGAAAATAAATACAGATAGTAGTGACTGAACAAATAAGTGTATCTAAGTGTCAGACATGGTTGTAACTGAACAAGTAGAGTTTAGCTCGGGATAGTAAGGACGTACAGGCCTCAGTGCACCGAAGAAATTGACAGTCAAATTTACATTAAGAAATGAGAAACTTTAGCCATGGCCATCATAGGCTTAGCCCTCCTCCATAAACGTACATATATACAAAAAGTAGGGGAACCTGAACTTTCAATTTGGTTTGGAAGCATAAGCGTTAACAAACGTTTCAAAGACAGATATCTTATGAACGCACCACCATTTCTCTTTATCACCACACCTAAACACAACGCATGGGATGCACGTCCACAACGCAGTAGCCCCACGCATGGGTGTCATTCTTGATGAAGAAGGTCGATATATCTCTGTACACCATTAATTTTGACAATCATCTTGCAACATAGTTGTTAGTGTTTGTTTCTTTGAAATTGAAAATCGTACACAAGCAGATTTCACGTCATACACCAATCATCTTTCAAGAGCGATTACTGTACAAACAACTATGGTCATAAGGAAGTGCAAGTGGTGATGCTCTCTCGAAACATTCATTATTATCATATCATCATTGAATGACTTCAATATATCTGCCAACCTTTTCAATCGTAATTTAAAAATGAAGTTCCCCTACTTTATGTATGTATTCGTTGATATTCCCCAGCACTTTGCAATGTTTCATGCTTTAGTCCGCCAAGTATCTATTTTCACCCCTTGCCACTGCACTACTATAAACGCACATACAGTACAGCCAGAAATTATTGAGAATTTATGATTGTAATTTTTTTTAAATTTCACTCATTACTCACGTATTAAATGTGAATATTAGCAGAACATAACTCCAGATTCAAAGACAGGTGAACAGTTAGTATTTTGTCAAGTCACCATGGGCAGCAATGCAGGCTTCAATGCGGCGGGGCATACTACTGATCAAAGAAGTTAGAAAGTCGTGGTCCATGCTGTCCCAATATCGGACCACCTCTTCTTTCATTTCAGCAATATTTGTCAGATTTTTCTTATTGACACTTTCCTTCATAAGTCCCCAAACATTTTCTATTGGATTTAGGTCAGGGTTATAGCTTGGCCAACCTAATAATGTCATATTTTGGGTCCGAAACCAGGCCTGTGAATGCTGTGAACGATGTTTTGGGTCGTTGTCCTGCTGGAAAATCCAATAAATGTCCATAGAACACGTGAGCAGATGGAAGTAAATGTCCCTCGATAAAAATCTGTGTACCGCTCAGTGTTCATATTCCCTTCAAATACACAGAGGGGCGTTGCCCCTAACACAGATATGCCACCCCACAAGTTAAATTTCGGACTGTACTTTGGGCGCTGATAGAAAGGTTTTTCAGTTTGTTTGGTCCAGAATTTCAGTGTATTAGGAAACAGCCACACAGAACTTTCATCTGAGAAAATCACATTGTCCCAGTTAACATTTCTATGCTATAAGCACCAGTTCAACCTTCGCTCCTTTTGTTCAAGGTTTCATGATCGGTGATGGAATTCCTAGACTTTTCTGCCAACCCATTGCATGCAGCTCAGTTCTAATTGTCTCCTTACAGACAGCCACAGTTCCTCTATCAATCATATCCAGCCTTAAGTTTTCTAAACTCCTTCATTTGTTTTTAGAAACAAGAATACCAAGCCGCCTCCTGTCGTCGACAGTCAATTTTCTGGGCCTACCTGCGCCTCCCTGGTGCTCAATGCCATATCCATTTGCAATATTTTTCAAAACACGATAAACAGTGGACAAAGGGATGCCTGTTCTACTTGAAACCACTTTAGCTGATCTGATGTCCTTGTTATAATACTCTAAAATCAACTTCCTCTTCTCTAAATCATCCATACTAAGGATCACTGAATATGTCGTCTGCTAGCAAGTAAACAAAGGGGGACAACTCTTCACAAACAAATGGAAAAGGATTAACGGAGTTGTCTCTCTTGAATGAAACCAAGCACTTGAAAGCTGGTCAAGGTTGTTTATATTAGAAATCCAATTAAACATATTCCTAAAATTCTCAATAATTTCTGGTCATACTATACAACGGAAACCTGATAAGTAAAATTTCAAGGGACTCTCCAAAATTGTTTGCTTATCAGGTATTTTACTTATCCAAACTTATCAAAACCTGCAAATGACAACCATATGCGTGTATATGTATACAGCAGAATACATTTATAATACAAAGTAATATAAATCAAACAAAATCAAACGAAATATTTCAGTCACAGTCTAGCTTCCAACTCCACAAAAGCTGTCATGTTTAGCTGGAGACTGACGCGCGCCCCTCATGTCGGATTATGTGGTGATCGCTAATTTAGATATCCGGTCTTTTGTATATTTGTTACCCGACATTGCTTAGAAGACACAATAACTGTGTCCATACACTTATCAGTAACTGTCAACATTTCACACAGACAAAATCAAATCATGTATCGACCATATACCGACGTCACTTTACTTACTGCATACCCTAGGACATCTCAGCAAAGTCCCAAACAGTCAACATATGCGAAAAGGTAAGCAAATCCTGCTCAACTGCCCTTTGCACAGCAAACACATGCAAAGTCAAGTCAAATATTCACTTGCAAGCAAAACGGAAATATATCGTTCACGTTGAGAAAGGATAACACTGATGATCTTAGAGACATCTTCCCTCATTTAACTGAAGTGGATTTCATAAAGCTTAGCCATCGCCACAGTGATAGTGAGTGAATGTTGTTTTATGTCGCTTTTAGCAATATTCCAGCAATATCACGACATGGGACACCAAGAATCGGCTTCACACAGTGTACCCATATGGGGAATCGATCCCGGGACTTCAGCGTGACGAACTGACGCGCCACGGCGATAAGTAACGCAGGAAATCATAAACACTGATTGACTGGACGAATTAGGTCCAACCAGTACTGCACAGTTTACACACTTTCATGGACATTGTAGATGGATCAAATTTATGTACTTGAATCTTGTAAACGGAGCAAGCGACCACCTGGTATCATCACTATTCGATATCAGTTAATAATCATAATATTGTTAAAAGCGGCATAAAACCATCCTCACTCACTCTATCACTGAAATGTTTGGTCCCCGACATATACCTGGAATATTACGGAGCACCAAGTTAAACAAACAACAAACAAATACGCAAACAAACAAATACAAATAAATTTATCGTTCTTGAGTGAGTGAGTGAGTAAGTGAGTGTGATTTTAAGCCGCTTTTTGCAATATTCCAGCAATATCACGGCCGTGGACACCAGAAATGGGCTTCACACGTTGTACCCATGTGGGGAGTCGAACTAGGGTCTTCGGCGTGACGAGCGAACGCTTTAACCACTAGGCTACCCCACCGCCACTATCGTCCTTGAACAATGTTCTTTGCTGGAACAGTTACAAGTGCAATGTATTATTAGGATAGAAGAACGTGAATGTAACTTTTCGTTCATTTGAAATCGTTATTGAATAATGTCGGATATAACGTTTTTCATTGTATGGTAGGTGGGTATTTGGTTTTGGATGCGCTTTATCTGATCATGGCATGGTAGACAGTATACTGCGTAGGTCGTATGTGGATTAACTAAGCCTGCGCAATATAGCTTTGAGCATAACTGCCCCAATAACTTTATCTTATAGATACGTATTGCTTTTATCCTAGTTTTGTCAAATAATCTTGCAAAAAATTGTTTGCACAAAACACAGCTATGAACTGAACAACTAAAATAGAATGCTTGAAACGTCAACATTGCACAATGTATCCCGAATTGCATTTTGTCCAAGATTCGAAATATGCAGTTCCGTCTTTCCTTGCGATATCTTTCCCTCCATGGTAACACAGATACGCCAGACAATCAGAACATATAAGAGCCGTGTAACTAGCAAACTGACTCACTTGGTCTGCCGTCAGTGTTCAAAATGGCCGCGAATATTCTGTTGCCCTTATGGATATTACTTAGCTGTGTAATAGGTACGTCAGAACACTTTTTATCTGCTCATTTCACGGTATAAACGGTATTTGAAATGTTTGACAACTGCAGAATTGAATACTTTGATGAATGTGCTTTACTGGGTTTGCGTGTGATTCGCCATGGACATGTTTGACAACTAATGTCCTACTTCCTTGAGAGGCATTTTAGAAGTTGTATAGATGAAGGAAAACCAAGTTCTATTGACAGTCAACTTCTTTATTGCTATGAGTGCAGCACTCATTCTAACGAGGCAGATTGCAGGACACAAGGACGCCTTTAATCTGATTTTACCTGTACTAAAGTACACATTGATTCAGTGAGAGATCCATCATGCCATGCTAACGAGTAAGATTAGAAATTTGATTCATAGATCGGACATGCTAACGAGTAAATTAGAAGACATACGGACATCATTACTCTGATTTTACCTGTAAAAATGTACAATTTGATTCAGTGAGAGATCCAACATGGCATTCTAACGATGGTGATTACAAGACATAAGGGCGTCATTTTTCTTTGTGTTCTTCAGATGCACTAGCTGAAACTTGCTACAGGGAGGACGAGTCATTCACCTGTATTTTGGGATGTTGTGAGGACGAAAATTATGTTGACTGTTGTTTGGGTAACGGGTAAGTAATGATCAACATTATGTGTGCGCGTGTGCCTGTGTGCCTGTGTGCCATCGTTTAACGACCTTTTGAAAGGGTACTTCAGTTGTTTGTCAACGGTATTTTAGACGTCAAGCGTTATTATGGTAACCGTGAGCATCTTTTTGTTGTTGACATCCAAATGGAAGCGACGCAGCAACTCAGTCCCAGTGCCAACCCGGCTATTGTTTGGCCGGGCTGAATATCATACTGTAACACTATCTTCACTCCAAATATAAAACGACGAGTTCCCACAGAATCCCTATTACTGTTAACTTAACTGATGATATTATAATGGAAATAGATGGTTTTTTTCTTCAAAACAGGTCAAGGTAAATGGAAAGGCAGTTCGGTAAATGTTAGATAGGTCGTGACTAATTAAACTGATCCTTGACTGGTTTCAGGGAATTTAGAAAATGAGTTTCGACTTTCCTTTCCAAGGAACAGGTTTTTATCCATAAAGTCGTATGCTTCATTATTGATTCCCAACTTCTAGAATGCCAATAAAATAATCAGTTGAAACCTGTTCTCGTGGGTTTAGTCAAAGTGGTCAATGTTTGATGGCTGTATCACTTCTCACTAGTTGGCCATAGATGAGTCATCATTAGTGAAATTTCCATAGACTTACATGTTAATTAACTGTTGAAAGTATAATTTTCATAAATTGAGTAGAAGTCATTTTATTTTGATATTTGGCAAACATCTTGAAAATCATCTTCAGCTACGCGTACAAAATTTTCTTTCATATTTCCGTTGATTAGTTATCGAATGACACCTGATTAAGTACAACTTAATTTTAATCTATCCCCTAGAAAGCCATGTTAAACCTGATTGGTACGTCTAATATATGTTGTTTAAATAGTTGCAGTTTTCTTAATAATCATCGGAAAATTGAATGGGATTTATGTATATGTAGCTGAGATGATTTCCTAGATAGTAGAAAAGTACTGAAAGCAATTGGGACTGAAACTAAAGTTATGAAAATTATTCTTGCAGCAGTTAATTAACATGTAAGTCTATGGGAATTTCACTAATAATGACTTACTTATGGCCAACTACTGTAGCTGTCCTCATACGTGAAGCTGACGGGCCGTTCAATTACTGAAACTCTGTTCACAGGAAGTATGAGGGTCGGTCAAAAAGTAGCCCGCCTCACCTAAAACTGATACAAATTCAGCTGTTTTTATGTTTTATTTTTCTACATTTTATCTGTCAACTCAATGAAATTGGTTTTGCTATGTTTCAGCCTCACGATTGGTTTGACCTTTTATCTTGGTATCCCTCAAGACGCAAAATCTGCGATTAATGCATCACAAAATTCAGGAAACAAAATATGCAGAAACATTTTGTGTGTTTCAGTTAGGTAGAGGTCTGCTAGAATCAAACTTAGATTTTAAAGTGCATAAAAAGCAATTTGAAACTACAATGTACAATATGACAGATCGTTTCTCATTTTCTGCATTGTTTCTGGAAATATTTCACCCCAATGTATTGTGATCACTAATACCTCGTTAACCACATTACCCACATTGCTTGGGATACAATGCTGGGATACAATGCTTAGGATTCAATGCTTAGGATTCAATGCTGGGGATACAATGCTTAGGATTCAATGCTGAGGATACAATGCTGGGGATACAATGCTGGGGATACAATGCTGGTAATACATTGCTGGGGACACAATGCTGGTGATACAATGCTGGGATACAATGCTTGGGATTCAATGCTTAGGATTCAATGCTGGGGATACAATGCCGAGGATACAATGCTGGGGATACAATGCAGGGCATACAATGCTGGGGATTCAATGCTGGGGATACAATGCTGAGGATACAATGCTTGGAATACAATGCTGGAGATTCAATGCTGCAAGTTGGACACAGTCTATTCAATCAGTCCAGATTTTTATCGCCTTGATGTCGATGGGGATACAATGCTGGGGATACAATGCTTGGGACACAATGGATACAATGCTTATGATTCAATGCTTAGGATTCAATGCTGGGGATACAATGCCGAGGATACAATGCTGGGGATACAATGCTGGGGATACAATGCTGGGGATACAATGCTGGGGATTCAATGCTGGGGATACAATGCTGAGGATACAATGCTTGGAATACAATGCTGGACATTCAATGCTGCAAGTTAACTTGGATAACCCCTGACACAGTTTACAAATTATCAGTCAGTCCAGATTTGTATCCCCTTGATGTCGATTGTAACGGAACGTTGTCAGTATGATCTTTAAACTTCAGGTATGTCAGGAACAGGGATCGAATCGTCAAGAACGTGTGTTTGAGGGACAGACTGTATTGTAGTACTTCCTTGACGAGAAACCAATGTCAAGTCGAAACTACAACAACTGCATCATGTGCCCTTCCTCGATATTGTTGAGCGGCCTCAACACTATCAATAACTCGTGTACACAAGCTTGACCGGAAAGGTCACCACGATAAAACAGAAACACATGCCTCACTGTTACACTGTTTCTGGTGAAACAGGATATCTGTCAGTTTATATCTAAACATATCAGCTTTGATTCACCTCATGTTTACAGTGTAGATTATGCATGCAATGCTGTCACACCCTACGTATTTCCAAAATTCCGGGGCGGTGGAGTAGCCTAGTGGTTAAAGCGTTCGCTCGTCACGCCGAAGACCATATGAGTACAATGAGTTGAGCCCATTTCTGGTGTCCCCTGCCGTGAAATTGCTGGAATATTGTTAAAAGCGGCGTAAAAGCATATTCACTCACTCACTTTTAATCATTATTATTATCATTTCAGAGCCAGCATTGGTATCATCTGCACATGCGTGGCAGTTGTCCTGAGTTGCATAGGAGCATGCTTCCGACAATTTCGAAGAAGAAATAACCTGAGCGAGGATGATAACACTCAGGGCCCTTCCGTTACAGTGGTTACAAACACCACAAGTATGGATACTTTCCACGCATCTATGTACCTTTGTTACACCAAAGGAAAACTGAAGCGCAAATAGGGCTGCGCAACAAAGACTAAAATGACTATATGCGAGAGAAGCGAGCAAAGCTTGGCAAAGTACTTCCCTCGCTTCGGTTCGAAAAATAGTCTTAATATCAAAATAACATATCGCCACTATCAAAGGTAGACACCCATTTCCTCACAGAGTTGTGCTCTCATATGTCTGACCTCATATTTAATAATTACTCACCTAGAATATATTTAATTTAACATTTTAACAGCGTCACTCGTGGCATGTCAAATCGTTCTTCGCCTCCATTACCCATGCCAGCTTCCGGTTCAACGGAGTGAAGGAACAAGAATAAGCAGAAATTGAAAAGAAAGATCATATTACCTAATTTTACCGTCAAACCGTTGGAGATTGTTTTTCTTATCTTCCGTCGTTATTGTTAGAATGTTCGTAACACTTATTCTACTGGCAAAAGGAGAAGAAAAAAACAACACACTTTTGTTGTACTGGGTGATGAAGCAAGGAAGGTAACTCCATAAGTATTACATATGACGGACATATGACTCAGCAAGTATATTTAGATTTCACTCCCCTGTTCCTTCACTTCGTTGCGCCGGCAGAGGTAATGGAAGCGAAGAAGGATTTGATGTGCCTCGGCAATGAGTGGCGCTTAAAATGTTGAATTAACTATATTTTGATCATCAATATGAGGTTGGAAATCGTGAGAGCACAACCCTGTTCGGAAATAGGTGTCCACCTTTGTTGGTGGCGATATTTTATTTTGATATTATAAATATATTTTTCGAACCGAAGCGAGGGAAGTACGTTGCCAACCTTTGTTCGCTTCGCAATTGGGTGGTCTGGTCATTTTTTCTCTGTTGCACAACCCTATTTGCGCTACAGTTTGCCTGTGGTTAAAATTTCCTTAGGGGCTTGGAATTTGTTGTGTAGAGATTGGCGACAGAAAACCATGGGTTCGAATCCCAGATTTGCTATGCTAATGTTTGTTGGTTTATTGGCACCATACGCATACTCATTGGGTCATCTACGTGTACGTCGTGTAACGTCGCCAACCTTTGCATCATTTTCCTCCTCCATGTAGTTGTCACGCACTGATATAGCTGAAATATTGTTCAAAGTGAGTGAGTAAGTGAGTGAATGAATAAGTGAGTGAGTGAGTTAGTGGGTGGGTGTGGTTTGGGTGAGTGAGTGAGTGATTGAGTGAGTGGATGGGTGGTTGGTTGATAGTAATTGAGTGAGTGGGTGAGAAAAGCACGAAGTGATACGCATCTCAGAAGTTTTACCACTTCGGTGAGACCAACGAGCAATGTATGGTGTTGGAACATGGAAACCTTAACAAGGCAAAATGGGATTCGACACCCGATTCGACATTCATAGATTTCTGGCGTGCCCAACACAATGAATTGCGTCGCCTTAGACGACTGGGCATCCAAGCTGTCCAACTTAGAATCTCGGACCAATCGCTTCAATTGTTTAACAACCCCATAACATGTTCCTCTAAAGCTGTTATCTACGAATGTATGAAATCTCATTATGATATCTCTTTACTGGAACGTAAATTAGGAACAAAGCACTGTAATATTTTAATCAAATTTAAAACCGCCAACCATAAATTACCTATTAAAACAGGTGGCTGGGAAAATATTCCCTCAAAGAAACGATTCTGTCAGTCATGTCCCTCCCAACTCGGAGATGAGTTTCATTATTTATTTCAATATAATAAAATTACTGCTTCCAGAAATATGTTTTTAAAGAATTATTATGTAAACAACCCTAACTATTATAAAATGTCAACCCTATTTGAAACTCATAATATGAAGCAATTAAGAAATCTATGTAAATTTATTTCCATTATAATGTCTGTCAACATGACATGATTAGTTTACCTGTACATAATTGCTGGATTTGTTTCAAGCCATAGCCTAAAAGTGATATATTTTTGAAAAATACCCCCATGATGCTTTGCATATTTGTAAACTTATGGTTATAAAAAGGATGATTGATTGATTGATTGAATGCTAGAGCATAATACCAACATTAAAGTATAATGAACATGGAAATTCAAACTTGTATCTGTCACAAAAAGAAATCCAAATTAAGCTTGATGTTTCAGAAATACTCCGAAGGTTATATCCCTGATTGATCTTTTACAAGATAAATGAAGCAATAACATAACTTTAATTTATAAAACAGTCTGATCTGAAACCCGTGTAAATTTGTCTATTTGCAGTGCAGGGCGCCTACGGTAACCAACAGATGTCACAGTACCCTCCCCCCGCCTACCCGGGACCCCCAACAACCGCACCCTACCCGGTTGCCCCTGCAGCCTATCCCCCAAAGTACTGACACATCGCGGAGGAGATGAAGTGGGGAATCCCCTTGGCTGAAGGAAGCAGGACATGAAGCACACGGTCATTAGATATAATCATCACAGGGCGTGTTTTTTAAAACAAATTTTCACAAAATTCCGGGGGGTGGGGGGTGGGGGTTGGAATGATCTCAGAATTATTTGATAGACAGGTACAATATGCACAGAATGTATTATTTGACATACGTATTTAATGTTTCGTAAGAATGGACGGATTTATATTCATCATGCAGCTTGTTTATATATTTGTGGATCTCAGATCTATCTGTTTGACAAGTACATAACATAAAATGTAATGCGCAACGGATATTAAATATTTTGTTGAACGAATGGACGGATTCATATTGTATTCATCATACAGCATGTTTGCAAGTTTATGGCTCTGAGAGCTATCTGAATGACAAGTACATAGCACATACAATGTAATATGCTACAGATATTGAATATTTTGTTGAAAGAATTGACGGATTCATTCTGTATTCATCATATAGCATGTTTGTAAGTTTATGGATCTGAGAGCTAACTGACTGACAAGTATATAACACATCCAGTATGATACGCAAAATATATTAAATATTTTGTTGAAAGAATTGATGGAGTCGTAATCATCGTGTAACTGCACACTGTAAAGCTTTCCATACGTGTAATCTTATAGTTATGAATTAATGATTAACGTTGTTTCGTAGGATCTAACAATGTCTAAACACAGGGTTTGGTTGTTTTAGGGGAGAACTTTTCACAATAAAATGCATTTTTATTAGTATCTTGTTCTGTTTTTGTTTCGAGACATGGTTGGCCAAACAGTCATGGCTGAGTGGGTCGTGTTAGTTACGGATCTAGGTTCAAGTTTCTGTTTCTCTCTGATCACAGTCCTTGGCTTGTCGGAGCCGTAGCTATACATGTGTCTGTTTGGTTCCTAGAATAGTACTCCTCGTAAGCATTCAGGATAGAATAGGTCCTTGGTGATCTACCTTCAGTTGTTGGCAATCTATGGCCGGTTTTATATTGTATTGTTATTGATAAGTAAAATATTTTAGATTTAATTACTAGTCTTAAATTTATTCCTGTGATAATCTAATTGTTTTACTGTCCTTCGTCGACAGGTGTTTTATAATGTAATTGTGTTTATTGTTAATTTATAACTTTTTAAGTCACAATATGGCTGAAATATTGCCGATGTGACTATACATTTTCACTCACTCACTCACTCACTTGACTACTGAAGATCTTGGTTAGAATTGTTCTTCAGCAACCCATGCTCGTCGTAAGAGACGACTAACGGGATCAGGTGCCCAGACTCGCTAGCTTGGTTGACGCATGCTGTTGTATTCCAGTAGCGCAGATCGATGCTCATGATGTTGATCACAGGATTGTCTGATCCAGACTTGATTATTTACAGACCACCACATGTAGTTGGAATAATGCGGAGCGCGGCGTTAAACAACAAACAAAAACAAAATAAACAGAATAGGTCCCCAAGCGTATCATCGTGTCGATCGAAATATGATTGTTGGAGGGTCTGTCTAGTTAAAGAAACGAATGAAGTTTGAGGTCAGGGATAATGTATTGACTTTGAACTTTAAAAAATTCTAGCGGAGACGCTTTATACTCTCTCGAAATACTTGGGCTCAACACAAACTATCTGGGGTGAGATAACGTGTATGTGTTTCTCGAATGTAAGACACCAACTCGATCCTGTTAGTCGCCCCCACCCCTGGGTATTGTTAGTGCACTGATTCACCTCAAGTGTCTGGCTGATGAAGGCATTAATACTAAAGGTAAATATTTACCCACTGCACATATAGACGGTGGTTTCTACCTTCTATCTTACACTGCCGAGCGCGTTTCAACTTCCAAGTTGTTCATGTGTTTATATTGACGCCTAATGCTGTAACTTTTATGGCACAAATTCTTTCCTTTTTAGCGACATTTTCCATCAGTTTGTCTATTATCAAATCTTTTCGAATATTTTCTGGAAATTTCGAGCATTTTATATTTACATCAAGTTTTCTTAGAAGGAAACTTGAAATGACGAGAAAATAATCGAAGCAGCGAGAAAAATAATCGAAAAAACGAAATGATATTTTTTTAAAGAATCTTGAAGTAACGAGAAAATAATCGAAATTTCGAGAAAATAAGTTATATAACGAGAACATGTTTGAGGCAAAGAGAAAATAATCGCAATTTCAAGTTTTTAGAAAGAAACATGAAGTAAACATAAAATACCCCAAATTACGAGACAATAATTGAAATAACGAGAAAGTACAAATGAGCAGATAATACATGCTGCAAAAGTGGCATCATGAGGCTTTTGTTTGCATTAAATAATGTCATTATTCGTAGGATATAAGGCTGCCTAAAAAGAGTAAAATGTTTCTCGGGCACATTTTTTTCAAAAGTGACGAGGGCGGTCGGACTTTCTTTTTACTTTTTGATGGAAAAGAAAGTGACGAGGGAGGAACACATTTTTATTTTTTCTCTCAGAAATACAGCTTGGGGAGTTTAGCACGTGTTTAATGAGTTGTAGATTCAGTCAAGCATATCGTCAACTCTTCTTTGTTTGGCCCAAAGGCTCTGTCTCCTCTTGTTTCCATGTTTGTGGATATTGGAGCCAGGAACACACATAGGGTAACTCTCTTTTGCAGGATCCTCACCTACCAGAACATGAGTGACAATACTGTCAGTTCTAGGAGTACTGCCATCAACAGCTTTCATGTCTTTGAGTTCAGTTCCACATGTATAGCCAAAGAGCTGAATAAACCGAGTATTTTTATGATTGGTTATTTTATCAGTGTGTCAATGAATAAATAGATCATTATTCATAATTTACAAATATCCCTAACTATTTTTGTCCAGTATATTTATCATTTTATCATCATTTAATAGGTGTTAAACAATGTACAATCTTGACATACCTGAAATCATATCAAGTCTCTGAATATCTGTGAGAAGTTGGTCATTTTTCATGGTTCCAACTATGTGCTCGTAGTTTTCTGGTATGTTGTAGTTGAAGAAATGTGAAAACATTTCTGGTATATAACAAGACCTCTCATCCATCTGAACTCTTTGAGGATCAATTTTCCATAGAATATCAGTCATAACATTAACAAAACGACCCCAAGAGTGTCCAGATTTGTGTCAACCTACATTGTAAACTTGCAGAAAAGTTATGAAGTCATTAGGGAGTGTTTTCTTCATGTTTTACCCTTTAAACTGCAACTTTGGTGGTGTGGATAATTTATTGGAATCCATCAAATAACGAAATGCACACTTTGAGTTTGACGTGTGAGTTTAAGTCAGCTAGTACAAGAACTGCCATCCCCGTAACAGGCAGAAGTACTAAATTTAAATTTGGTCGAGGTACCAATGAATATGAAAAATCTTCCGAAATTAGCAACTACATTTGTCACCCTCGCAGTTACAAATATGTCGTCAAACGAATCTAGTTTCGATTTGGCCACACAACATGTCAGATTCAAAGAATAAAACATCATCGTACTCAGCGGGCATACACACCCAATCGTCATTGTCAGCTTCCAATGTTTAGCTTGACACGGCATCATATAACTCCCCTTGTGTTATGTGAATCTATACAAAATTGTCCACGGGCGTAGGACTTTAGCCTCGTCGTTGATTTTCACTGATACCAGGACGGCCATGCTGCATACAAACTCCGCACATCAGTGTTCGGTAGCTGCATAGTGCGCACTGCATTGTACAGAAGAGTACGAGTGTGCTGCGAGTTTGCAAAACGGAAGCACACTCGTTCTTTCAGACACTCGTGCTTGGTGGACAAATGGATGATCGGGACGCGGCTAAGTCAAACTTATATTTTTTAAATGGCAATAAAAACGTGTTACTCGCACAAATAAAGGTGACGCGCCAATGCCCGAGAAACATTTCACGTTGTTTATTTAGCCCAACTGGGTCGATGGCCGTACCCGTCTTTTGATAACGAGCGTGATCACCTACAATAGCTGCTAGATATTCCGTTAAGGTTTATGTCCGGGTCGTAAATGTTTGTCAGATAAGGAGATATCTCGAATTGCTGATGTACACACCATGTGTTCCGAGAATAACGACGACCGCCCCCAACTTCGGGTTGTGACTCTTTTCCCGTTGGAAAATCCCTGCAACGTCACTCCAATCATTGTGCGTCGCAGTTTCTGATTGGTCAGTCGATGGGTGCTTGAAACCTCCTTAGAAGTAAGTTGACTGGTCTGTACGAATTTCATGACGTCATATCTTAAATATCGAGTGTATCAGAGGCAAGGTTCACAGAACGGCCTCCATATTAGAAACATGACTCACACCCATCTCTTCAGCCAAGCATCCAAAGGGGGTGGGTGGTGGTGGTGGTGGTGGTGGTGGTGTGTGTGGTTGGGATGGAACACCTTTCCCAAGGCCAAAGATAAAGACAGGTCGTGGATAAAAAATACAGAGTGTGGTCAGTCAGGTACAGTCCTAGAAATCAACCTTGATTCTCAGAAACTGATCAGTGAGTGAGGGAATGAGTGAGTTGGGTTTTAAGCCGCTTTTAGCAATATTCCAGCAATATCTCGGCGGGTGACACCAGAAATTGTGAAATTGTGCTTGAGAATATTTCGCTCATATGACGACGTGCATGCGTGTGTATGTGTGTGTGCGGCTGCTTGTACCAGCCCAGACTGAAGCTGGTTTTATAGTGCTAGCCCACTGAGATACCATGCCGCAGTGAAGCATGAATACCCCACTCAGACACATTATATTGACTCCGAGCCGACCAGTCCTTGTTGTACCCATTAATGCCAAACGCAAGGCAGGGACCTACAAGTACCATATTTTAACGTCTTTTGGTATGACGCGGTCGGATATCGAACCCACGACTTTCCGCTCTCCAGGCGGATGCTCTAACCACTACACCACGGAGGCGGTCCGAACACTGCAAGAGAAACACGGGCGATTGCAGACGAGGTGGCAGTCAGGTACTACTGAACAAGCGGCATGACCTTCAAAGGACATACCACTTGGTACAAAGATTGTTTTCATGTTCATAAAATAGAAAAATGCGTTATTTTGTCTGCGTGTAGTGTTGTATTTAGTTAAAAGTATGCAAGTGTAGAAAAGTAAAACAATGCATTTATTATCAGAGTTTTCATAACATAAATGGTCTTTATTCGCTGGGGTTTCTTCAATTATTAAATCATGTAGATCTTTGTGGTAAAGCTACGTCCCTTCTGCTACTTTGGCCTTATGTAGTTATGTAACGGACGGCATTCCAGAAGTTCGCGAGTCATCAACGAAGCATACGACTTTATGGATAACAGTAGCTGCTTCTTTAATGCATAGAGCGACGTTTCGATGTAGATTCCTCCACCGTTTTCAAGTTAACAGTGATTACAACCAGGTGATCAGGGTGCTGTTGTTCAAAACAACCTTAGCGCTAAGGCTACCTTAAGTCAGTGTTAAAGTATGGGAGTTATGGTCACCTTAGCGCTAAGATCGCTTTGTACAACGGCACCCAGACGTATATATAGGGCATCATTTTTTTTATGTTTCACGTAGCCACCAAATTCTAGACATAGGTCGGTCGGTCGGTCAGCGACCCCCAACCCCCCACTACCAACATCACGGAAATCAGAAATCGCAGATAAAGTGCATGATCGGAGAAAAATCAAATGTCAGGAACATTGTAAAGAGGACAGAGGTCCGGGTTAGAATATTGATCTACATTAATCATGAATGCATATTACTTCCCACAGATACTCGTGAAGGTCCGGGTTAGGATATTGATCTTCAGTAACCCATGCTTGTTGTAAGAGGCGACTAACGGGATCGGGTGGTCAGGCTCGCTGATTTGGTTGACACATGTCATCGGTTCCCAGTTGCGCAGATCGATGCTCATGCTGTTGATCACTAGATGGTCTGGTCCAGACTCGATTATTTACATACCGCCGCCATATAGATAGCGTAAAACTAAACTCACTCACTCACTCACTCACTTGACTGATATCTCCACAGGCAGCAGATACTTCACATCGGCAGATGAAGTCTATCAGTAATATCCTTACTTCTAATGTTCGTCCTCACTAACCTCGATTGTTCGAGGAAGTTGGTTTTGAATAAATCGGAATAGTTTGATATCATGCTCTGAGATATGCTATTACTTTCAGACTCCGATTCCCACATGGATACAATGTGTGACGCCCACCGTCACATTGCTGGAATATTGCTGAAAGCAGCATAAAACAACGCCCATTCGCTCATTAGATCCAGAAACGACGTGAGTACATTCTCCACCCTTAATTTTCTGAAAAACAAATCATCGTCCAGATAAGGGCGGTACAGTAGTCAAGGTATTTCGAAATGCTTTGTTGAATAAAATGAATGGATAGACGAGTTAGATATGCACTTCAATGTGCGGCTCCAAAGACATATATTTGCATAAACATGTAATCTCATACATGAAATGTAATCTCATGCATGAAATGTAATCTCATACAGGAAATGTAACACAGACATGAAATGTAATTTCATACATGAAATGTAATGTCATGCATGAAATGTAATCTCATATAGGAAATGTAATCTCATATATGAAATGTGACACATACATGAAATGTAAAATGAAATGTAATCTCATGCATGAAATGTAATCTCATACTGGAAATGTAATCTCATATATGAAATGTGACACATGCATGAAATGTAATCTCATATATGAAATGTAACACAGACATGAAATTTAATTTCATACATAAAATGTAACACAGACATGAAATGTAATTTCATACATGAAATGTAACACAGACATGAAATGTAATCTCATATCTGAAATGTAATCTCATACACGAAATGTAATCTCATAATGAAATGTAATCTCATGCATGAAATGTAATCTCATACAGGAAATGTAATCTCATATATGAAATGTGACACATGCATGAAATGTAATCTCATACATGAAATTTGACACATACATGAAAAGTATTCTCATACAGGAAATATAATCTAATACAGAAAATGTAACCTCATACATGAAATGTAGCACATAGATGAAATGTAACACATACATGAAATGTAATCTCATACATAAAATGTTATCTTATACATAAAATGTAATCTCATACATAAAATGTAATCTCATTCATGAAATGTAACGCATTCACTTCACGTTTAGCAGAACCAGTGCTGCGCCTTCGCAATTCTTGTAAAACATTAACTTGTGAGAAGAATATGCGCTAGATATACCACTCGTCATCAAGGAGGTGAAAAGCATGTTATCCTTACAACGACTGTTCAAAAGCCATTTATGAAACATTTTCCTTGTGTGTGTTTCCGTGGCAACTCTTTAGAGGCTCATATTGCAATTGAGAATAATAAAAAGGGCGTTAAAAAGGATCTAACATTTTTTGTGATATTTCAGTGGTGATTACACCCGCAGGTGTTGTTTGTCTTGGTCAAAACTTTCCTCATTTGCCTCGCTAACATTCAGTCTTTGTTGGAGATAACTTCTTTGAGAGGCCATATGTTGTCACCCTTCCTTTGTTTGTGTTTAATAGAATCTGTTTACACTGAATTATGAAGCCCATGGTGGATTGAAGTCTTGGCATTAGATCCTGCTAAAGTGCTTAAAGTTTCCTTGAGGAAGTATTTGTTGACAATAATGCCATTACTGATTTATCCGTGATAAGATCTGTGAAGATCCGGGTTAGAATATTGATCTTCAGCAACTCATGCTTGTCCTAAGAGGCGACTAACGGGTTGTACACAATTGACATTTTTAAAGTCCAGACTTAAAACCTGTTCTCTGTATATTAGTTATAATCTCGGCTGTAAATATTCTCGAGTAAATTATCTGTACATAGCGCTTTGAGCATGCCCAAGGATGTGGAATAGGCGCACTATAAATATGCATTTATTATTATGATATTGTGCTTGATACCCAGCGTTCACACGCACTTGCACCTGAAACCAAGGTGCTCACTACCCTAATATTTTGCTCTAGTTTTTTTCTCCACGTTTACACTTGGTTGGAAAAATACCAATGAAGGCCCGGGTTAGAATATTGAACTTCAATAACCCATGCTTGTCGTAAGAGGCCGCTAACGGGATCGGGTGGTCAGGCTCGCTGACTTGGTTGACACATGTCATCGGTTCCAAACTGCGCAGATCGATGCTCATGCTGGATTGTCTGGTCCAGACTCGATTATTTACAGGCCGCCGCCATATAGCTGGACTATTGCTGAGTGCGGCGAAAATCTAAACTCATTCACTCACTCAGTTGGTTCGTAAACTACTTCCATCATTTGCAAAGGGAGATAACTCGTGCCTCGCATTCCTCTATCTCGCGCACGAAAGAGTCTCGATCTAAGCTTGGATCGGATCGTAAGATCGGGACCGGCTACAATCGGCCTAAGATCGGGTAGTGGAACGGGTGTAACTTTTAGCTAAGACGATTGCAAATTGGCGTAACTTGCTAAGATTGATCTTAGGTAAGATCGGTTAGTGGAACGGCAACCTGGCCCTTTTTTTGTGCAGAATTTGCACAATCGTACTGGACATCAGTTAAACAAATATAACTGCCAAACGGTACATTTTAGCAACTTGACCCGTCCAAGCAAAATTGTAGGCATTTTGATTGCGCATCTGCTCAAGAACTTTGGCACTTATTAGATCAGTAGTTTTGCACATACTTGCTTTTGAAATTTAATTTTTAAAATAATTTTGAATGATCTGCCCTTTGCTATTGGGCCTAGAGCATTGAGAATTTTATGGGGAATATCTACACCTCGATGGGCATCTAGGTAACCTTTCTCAAGCGATTCTGACCACTGGTGCTCTTTGTAGGGCTGGTACAAAATACGGCGGAATAATAAATAATAATAATAATAAAAACATTAACGATTACAATAGGTCTCCTACCTAGAGGCAAAGAGCCCTACATATCTTAAATAAATCTGGACATGGTATATTTCCAACTTTCTTTTAATATCTGTACAATGTCATAATAGCCTTTTCAATCTCTACACCAAGAGTAGTTAGTGCTTTAGTCCAAATAAGGATAGGTGTTAACACAATACCCAGATTTCTAGATACAAACCATAAAATTTCAATTTAAAACAAATATCAATAGTGAACTGGCTAACAAATTCAGAGCACTGTCATTCTCCAAAATTCAATGTAAAATCACTGATTTTGTGTTGAAATATGTTTGTATGCACAGCCCTAAAATATAATAAAGTAACGCAAAAAGACTCCATTGTAGCATTTAATCAAACTTGTTAACTGCTGAATAATTGCTGATATCAAATTATATGATTATTAACATGTATCAGTTCTATTCTAATATCACCAGTGTTATCATGCTCAAAATAATCAAGATATACTCTCCCAAAAAAGAAACGCATCGTGAAAATAGCAATTTCATGTAGCAATGAATGAAAACGTGATTCGTTTTACAAAAGGTTTTGCTCTGTATATGAGTTCTATGGTGTTTATGTTTTGAAACATCACAACAAAGCGCACCATCCGTAAAATACCCGTATTTAACAGCATGATTTCGGCGTGTAGTGTCACAATTCACATGCAATGCAAGTGAAAGTTGGGGATCAGATAGTCTCAATGATTGGTATAAAAGGTTAATCGTTGCCTGTCGATTATTCACTGTATTTGGAATATTGTTGACGAACGCAAAATGCCACGTCTAAGTGAAGCCATCCGTCATATCGCCATTGGTTTGCTTGAAGCTGGCGTCTCAACGTGCAGTTGCCCGACGCATAAATGATCACCAAAGCACCATTTCACGGCTCTGGGAGAGATAGCGCCGGCAGAATGCGGTAGCAGATGCCCCTCGTAGTGGGCGACCTCGAGCGACCACTGCGGCGCAGGATCGCTACATCCGGGTACATCACCTGCGTCATCAAACAGCTATGGCGACCAGTACCGCTCCACAAATACCCGGATTGAGGAGGCTTTCTGCACAGGCACCCATGAAGGGCCACCTCCTCGTGGTGGGTGCTGGGTCACGCTAAGCGCCCTTCAAGCCCCCGTTGTGGACCCGGGGGGATATTTGGTCCACCAGCCCGTTTGCCGTGGGTTGCGCCCCTGTGTCGGTGGAGAACGGGAGGCTGGTGGTTGAGGGCACTGGTTCCAGGAAAAGTGTTCCTTTGTCCAACACACCACTTTGCCCCTTACTTCACCTAGACGGGTGGTTGAATGGGCCCGGTTCAACCAATCGGCTGGTCATGCCAAGCTCTGTGTATTATTGTTTTACACAAAATACTTCAACTTTTTAACATGTTTTGACAAAAATCTTGGGCAAATAATCTATCACTTGCATTTCAAGTGTATCGTTACTAATTTTGAAATTTGCCTAGAGTCATATATACCCAGTAAGCGGTGGCTCATGGGCCAATCTGGTAGGACATATCTTTTCAAGATGTTCTCCTGCTTGAGTATACCCTCCTGGTATCCTTGGTGCCGTCTGTTGGAGGCCCACAGACATAAGGCATCGTCCTTGTTGACACTCCATGGTGGGTGGGGAGCTAGGAGGGTGAACTATATTAAATATAAACATGGAACCCCCACTCAAAAAAAGATCGTATGAATCTGATGATTCAGTTTCGTCTGAGGATGAGACTCCTCCAATTGTTGTTAATCCTGATAATTGGTCTCGCTTTTTAGTCATGTCTTCACCGAATGATGGTCCACTGAAATTGAATCCTTTTGCCATTGCAAAAGGCATAGAAGGTCTGGCTGGCGACGTAAAAGAAATTAAAAGCTGCGTTCTGGCTGTCTACTGATTGAATGCAAAAAGCAGATTCAGTCACAAATCCTACTGTCAACAAAGTCATTAGCGAATGTTGCCGTGACGGTTTCACCTCACAGGACCCTCAACAGCAGTAAAGGCATTGTCCGAGATGTAGGCCGTTGCCTTTCAGACATGGATGAGGATGATATTGTTTCGGAATTATGCTCACAAGGAGTTACAGCTGTTAAACGCTTTTCTTCCAAGAGAGACAATGCAATTATTAAGACCAACACATATCTATTCACATTCGGTCTTCCATCACGACCAGACTCACTCAAAGCTGGATATTGTCATTTAAGGGTGGATGCTTACATCCCCAATCCCCTTTGGTGCTACAGATGTCAACGGTATGGTCATGGTTCAAAGTCATGCCACAACACGGCTGCCTGTTATCGATGTGGTGGCAAATGTGAGGATAGTAAACTCTGCGTAAAAGCTCCTTCATGTGTAAACTGCTCAGGAAATCATCC